CCCTCACCGCCACCTCCTTATGTTTATAAGTCCCCCCCGCCACCATCACCATCACCGCCCCCGCCCTACGTTTATAAGTCCCCACCCCCACCATCACCATCACCACCACCTCCCTACATTTACAAGTCTCCCCCTCCACCCTCTCCCTCACCGCCTCCTCCTTACATCTATAAATCTCCGCCTCCACCATCACCATCGCCACCACCTCCCTACGTCTACAAATCCCCACCCCCACCATCACCATCGCCACCACCACCCTACATTTACAAGTCTCCCCCTCCGCCATCTCCCTCACCCCCGCCTCCTTATGTCTACAAATCCCCTCCTCCACCATCACCATCACCACCTCCATATCTCTACAACTCATCTATAAATCTCCGCCTCCACCATCACCATCGCCACCACCTCCCTACGTCTACAAATCCCCACCCCCACCATCACCATCGCCACCACCACCCTACATTTACAAGTCTCCCCCTCCGCCATCTCCCTCACCCCCGCCTCCTTATGTCTACAAATCCCCTCCTCCACCATCACCATCACCACCTCCATATCTCTACAACTCACCCCCTCCTCCAATTGAGTCTCCACCACCTCCCGTCTACTACTACAAATCACCTCCACCACCACACCACCATACATAGTACATCCCACGTACTTGTACAAATCTCCTCCAACCCCATCTCTGACGTACCACCGAAAGTTCCCGCCGTTGCCAGGTCACAAGCCGTACATCTACAGTTCACCTCCACCTTCTACACACTACTAGATCACTTATGAATACCGGTTGATCTTGATTTGAATAATTAACTTCGTCTTTTGTATTTGGATATGAAGAAATTTTCAGCGCATTGTTACCATTCGTGAACAAATTTACTTTCTATGAATAATGAAGTGTGAAATTCGTTTGATTGTACTTTTTCCTTTTTCGAATATGAAATATTGTCATTGATTGGATCTTCAGTACGCGCGTACATTTTCTTATTTTTTGCTGTTACCTTTTACAAATGTTCTTGGATTATTGATGTGATATGTCATGGCATGATATGAAAAGGACAATAATATTATTAATAATCTAGTTAGTACATCTGTAAAACGTATTAGCATTGATTTGCAGAAGAATACGATTAGAAATAATGCATTTGATCCGCCAAGATATTCATCCACAAGCAACTTATCTCAAACGAACCTTTATTTATTTATTTATTTAAAAAAAGCAGTATTAATGAGAGAGATATATTCTGTGCAGCATATGATGAGTTTTTTCTAGATAATTTCTTTTGTTGGTTTTAAATATCAGCGTTATCCTTTTACTATATGTGTTGTAAAGTCAACGTAACCTTTTCTTTGAGGATTTTTAATGACACAAGTATAGAAAATAGTTTTGTGTTCATCTTCGGAAGAAGGCTCTTCTTAGCTGGTTTTATTTCTTTTTTTGGCTAGTAGTTGCTCGCCAGCTTATCAGACAAACGCAACAAATGTACGTGCAATAAAGATTTTGTTTTTTGTTTTGAAAATGGTACAATAGAGAAAGTTTGCTATAATAGTTTTTGAATTAATGCATATTTACCATAATCATTAATACATAAAATCATTAATTTTACAGAAAGCATTTTAAGGTTAAAAACGAGTTTATCAGCTAAAATGTACATAATTAATTTGGGGATTCATGAAAGTGAAACCCGTCGAATTAATCCTACATTTTCAAATTTGAAGGGCAAAAACGAGTTTATCAGCTGACATGTACATAATTTTGGGGATTCATGAAAGTGAAACCCGTCGAATTAATCCCACATTTCAAATTTGATAATGTGTAAATCTAAGATTTTTACCAATTTTTATCATGAAATAAAATTGATAAATTCTAAATTTACTGATATTTAGCAACTTGTTCAAAATTCCTGCCATTTATTGTTATTCCATCCAAACATTGCAACTTAACTCCTTATATATAACTAGCATGAAGGACGTGCCTAGACCTTAGTAACTTTTTCTGTTTTTTATTTTTTATTTTTTGATTTTTGACAAGAACTTCATATGAAGCATGATAAAAAGATCATAAAAACTTTTATACAAAAGCAACTAAGCAGAATCCATTCAAAAGAAGAGCGCTAACACATTAGGGAATGATCTCAACATTTAAAAGATCAGAATAAATTTAGAGCAACATTCACTGCAATAAAATGAGCAATCGTGTTGTTTGGGCGGCTGGTATATTCACAAATACCTATCCAGTATTCGCTGGAACAAATATAATAATAGTACATAGAAAATATATAAGTATAATCCAAAGGATACCACAATATGATCATATGAGGCTATATCGGTACATTAATCAATAATATATAAACACAAAGAATTGTTTTATTCAATTAATTCTTCATATGAAAAGTAAAAGAAAAGAACAAGAAAGGGAGTTCCACAACATACAGAGGCATTATGAAGAAGCTTAGACAATATTAAGAAGTTAAAATTTATGTGTGACTTGAGAGAAAAGGTACACATTGATGTGTGTGAGATAATGATTAAGCCATGTGGAGTAAACATGAAGTTAGATGTAAATTAAGTGAAAAGAGAGTAGTCAATCCATGGTTGAAGTACAAAACCTATTCCACTTCTATGTATAGATTATAGATAGACTATAGATGTGCTTATAGTAATTAATAAAAATAATAGAAAACTAATCTTTATGTAAGGAAACTAAATATTAATTCACAAGTTTCTTCAAAATTAAGACGTCACTCATTTGGCTTGTACATGTGTACAAAGACAGGAGGTCCTTTTCAAATTAAGTTGAGCAAGTATATATGAGAATCAGAATAACAAAAATATGCACATTATATATTATATAACCAAATATTAGTGCAGCTTGGCTAAGCAGCATATAGCCACATATTTTGAATTCTACTCCCAAAACTTATCTTTTTCCTTTTTTCTTTTACATCTTCTAATTATTGTCTGGATCCTTTTTTCAATATATTCCCTCTCTCTCTCTTCGCCATATAGTTGAGGCTAGAAACTCGGAAACGCGTTTGTTTGCATGTTTGCAAATTGCATGCAGCGTTTGTTTATTCATTTATTTGTTATTATTATTTTTTGCAATGGTCAAAGTGTGTGTGTGTGTGTGTATATATATATATATATTTTTTTTTTTTAATTTATGAAAAAGTACCTGCCGTACCTCACGACTTATAAAAGGTCTCCATCTAGCTTAGACATACAAGTTCATGGCCTACCATGAACAAATATAATATATTTATTACATATTTTTTTGGAAGGGTATAAGTAAGCACTGGAGTATACTAATACTATAGTTCAAAAAAAGGAAAGTATAAATTAACCAAAAGCAAAAAAAAAAAAAAAAAAAAAAAAAAACCTTGTGAACTATAAAATGTAATGTATAGATATTAGACTTAGTAGTGCGGCCAATATTAAGCTGACTAAATAAATTAACCAATCAATTCAATTAGTGTTGGTGAAATAAACAAGTTTAATTACTACAGTTGCCGGTTAATTACTTTTTTTTTTTTTTGGGATGGTACAAAGTTACTTTTTTGTTCATTAGGAACTAATTATTATATTATAAACTGCCTCCCTGAATATAACAACTGTTGATAATGGAATAGATCATCATAATGTAGCTAGCCGGCAGATCATGTTTGTCGTCTAGTTCTTGGTATCATGAACAAATTAATTTACCAACTTGAGAGTTTTTCTTTTACATGATTCAATTTTCCATCAATTCTTTCGAGAGTTTTCTAGTTTTAGGTACAAACAAGCCAAGTTTCATCATGTGCATAATCAGTTATGTACTTATTTATATATATATATATGATTTGGATGATGAATGAATGTTTTTCTATGGGAAAACTAATACGTGTTTATTGCCAAGAATATTGTTTCAAAAAGTTCTGCAAAAGTTTTCTTCTAGCACTATCCCGAATTAAATAAATTTATTAGTGCACCCACGTATTGTTTGAAAATTAATTGTACCTATGAGTTACAAGAATCCATCTACTCATACTTCCTCCTCCAATTATAATTATTTAAATATCACCAAAGATTTTTTTTTTTTAAAGACCTTTACTTTTTTTTTTTTTTTAGGATAAAAGGACCTTTAATTCACGTAAACACGCTTTGCAATTCCCAGAAGTTACCTACTTTATATATACATACATACACACACACACACATATAAATATATATATATATATATACACACGCGCACACACACACACACGCGTCATCTGTCGTTCATGTGAAAATCATTATGTATAATACCTTCATGTTCAGCAAATTTTGGATTAAGTGGTTGCTGATATATGATAAATTATATGTCATTTTTTTCTCCTTCTTTGCTTGGCCATAAAATGCTTTCTGAGCTGTTAATTTTCATTATGATACACTAATAGTGATACTCTGAATTAATAACACGCAAAAGTAAATCCAATTCATTGCTATATTTTCAAGTGACTTTTGGAAAGTAAACAATATAATAAAGCTTCATATATTTATATTATTAAAAGTAAATTCTAGTTTTACATAAGTTTTCAATTACATTATTGTGGTTCCCCAACACTCTAATATTGCCGGCTTCAATGTAGAAGCTGATCCTGTGTACACGCATATAGCATATTCTACATATACATATACATGTATATGTTTGTATGCATATATGGATATAGTGACAAATTTTAGTAAATGAACGAATACGAGGACCAAGAATCTTTTTAATTTATTTGTAACAGGATTATATATTATGAAAGTAAAAATTTGCATCATCTTTGAAGGTATACAATGACCCAGTGACAAATGGCTCGAGACAATATGTTATATTTCAATTTTTGAAAAGGAAGAAAATAGTAGAAATTCGCAAGCTCGATCTGAATGAATAGACGTATGGTAACAATCAAGACATGGGAGCTTCCTATTTCTTGATCGTGGAAGTGCGTTGTATTATTAGTTTATAAGATTAAGAAAGTAAGACACGACTAAAAATTTTCAAACTGTAACCAGCTCTACAAATTTTTTAATGATTTTAGACCCCTATGTTTCGATACAGCTTTTGGAGTAGGGAAATGCTAGTTACATATATTAATTCCAAACTTGCATTTTGACTTTAAAAGTTCTGTTTACAAATTTTTTTTTTTTTTTTTTGGCTTATCAAAGGACAAGTATATAAAGAAAGACAAAGACAATCAAAACCACAAGCAGATATCAGAGAGATGTTGTGGGAAGGCACAACAACACGTTGAAGGAACAATAAATTATATTAGGTGGAAAATTAGAATTATTAGTAAAATCCTAAAATAAAATAGATTTAACATTTTGGTCAATGATATTATTTTGGGAGGCAATAGATTATCCGGCCTGTTTTGATTAAAATAATATGTCCTGCTCATCAATTTGGTAGAGAGATCTCACTAGCTACACAACCTTACCATGCTATAAAGGGACTATACTCATCCTTACCATGCAATTCACTACACAACCTAAGTAGTACACTATCCAAAATAACCTAAATTTCTGGCAACAAGAGTTGAGTTTGCTGGAAATGGGAAGCTTAGGACAGCCGAGGCCAATGCATTGGCCTCGACTGGTTTATGCCATTGCATTTTGCCTCATAGCCACTAGTGTGGTTGCTGATCATTATAAGCCTTACTTCTATGCTTCCCCGCCACCACCGAAGCATGCAGTACACCGCCGACCATATCTCTACAAGTCGCCGCCACCGCCAAAGCATTTTAGCCATCCGCGACACTACTATAATTTGCAACCACCAACGAAGCATATTAGGCACCCTTCATACAACTACAAGTCGCCGCCACCAACAAAGCATGTCTGGCACCCTCCTTACTACTACAAGTCGACTCCGCCACTAAAGCATGTTAGGCACCCTCCATACTACTACAAGTCACCTCCGCCACCAAAGCAAGTGGCTTACCCACCATATTATTACAAGAAGCCGCCGCCACCAAAGCATGTTAGACACCCTCCGTACCATTACAAGTCACCTAAGCTTATCGATATAAACCCGCCACACCATTACAAGTTGACACTGCCACCAAAGCATGTAAGCCATCCACCATACCTTTACAAGTCACCACCACCACCATCTCCTTCTCCACCTCCCCCATATATTTACAAGTCTCCACCTCCTCCATCTCCATCTCCACCTCCTCCGTATATCTATATATCTCCTCCACCACCGTCCCCTTTTCATCCTCCTCCATATATCTACAAATCTCCACCTCCTCCATCGCCATCACCTCCGCCGCCTTACTTTTATAACTCACCACCACCTCCAGAGCATATTGATGCACATGACCACCCATACCACCACAAATCGCCGTCACCACCAAAGCATGAAAGTCATCCACCATACCACTACAAGTCACCACCGCCACCATCTCCTTCACCGCCTCCGCCTCCATACATCTATAAATCACCACCACCACCTTCACCATCACCACCTCCACCATATGTCTACACATCTCCACCTCCCCCTCCGGCATCCCCATCACCACCGCCTCCTTATATTTATAACTCACCACCTCCACCACCTCCTTATGTTTACAATTCCCCACCTCCACCATCGCCTTCGCCTCCACCTCCATATATTTATAAGTCTCCCCCTTCGCCATCTCCCTCACCACCGCCTCCGTACTTCTATGGTTCTCCCCCACCTCATAAACGCTATTAAGTAAGCTTACAATCACCACTTGAATAAGCTTCAATAGCAACTTCCTATATATACATCTGTTTGGGTTTGAAGAACCGATGCAATTTTCATTCCTGAATGCTGCATCCATATAAGAGCTAAGGATCTTACAGTGATAAATATTCTACAAACTATTTTGATATCAATGATTGTACTATTAAATTTACGTAATGAAAGTCACAGGCCGAAATTTACTAATTATGTAGTTCATATTTCTTTTATATTCACGTTTATGCATGCATGCTTCTCCTTCTTCCATATAAATGTCGACTACTAAGGAAATGTTTACTAAATCGTGATGAAGTGATGAGAAAGATAGTAGATTTAGAAAGTAAAGAAATAAGAATTATGAGGATCATTAATTATCTTTTCAGTACTTATATTCTAGGAAGGAAATCGGATACCATCTAATCTCTTTCAAAGTGAGCCTTATCAATTCAATTACTAAAATATATCCTTATGCGTAATTAAATAATTATTGCCTTGATAAATTTCGTGATCGTTTTACATAATTAGAAAAGAATACCAAGAAAGGAGTACTTAGTATTGGAATAATATTTATTTTAACTTTTTTTTTTTTGTTCATTGATACTTTATTAATGTAATATAGATTAATAGAGTCAAATATTTAAGACAACATGCAAATCACCTCCTTCCTCCACATATCAATTTATAACTACGAATCGCCTCCATCCCCATCGTATTCAACACATCCTCCTTACTTGTACAGTTCTCCACAACTTAAATATATGCTACTAAGGTTACGGTCAGGACATGAATTATAAGATATTTGAATAGCAACTTAATTTATTTTTGCTTGGGTTTGAAGAAAGTCATATCTAGTTATTAATGTTTCTGTTAGCGAACAAGCTTCTCTTATATATAAAGATTTGCTTGGATTTTATTAAAAAAAAAAAAGATTTGATTGGATATATGTATTGACTCTAGTATTTAATTTATGAAATATGAAAGTAGTGAGAAAGTGAAATTTACTGTGTAGTTGTTTGTCATTTATATTCATACATTTCTTCATTCCAAAAGAATATAAACATTAAAATGGCATGCCAACCTTTGATTAAGTTTAGTGATAAAATTTCAATAGGGTTGATGAGTTTGCAAAGCTTAACTAAGAAGTCTGTAATTAATTGGACTCAAACTCCTCTATTTTGATCACCCTAGGAGATCCTTTAGCCTGACACTTATATATATATATATATATATAAGAGCAAATGAGCGCAATTTAACTAATAAATAAAATCAATAAAAGTAAGCTTCATAAAAAAAAAATGTTATCGCCACAACAAAAGGTTGTTTTCACGACATATTGACAGCATTTTTATTTTTATTTTTAGAAAAGTCATCAAAACATCGTTAAATGACTTTTTATTGTCAAATATGGTAGATCAAAGTTAAGATATGCAAAATCTTACGACATTAGGGAGAAAACTATAGTATAAATTGGATTTTTTTTAGAGGAATATATATATTTTTTTAATGCAATGGCATATGAACAATGTCATTGTAGCCTTTCTAAGACAAGTTTTAGTTACAAGTCCAAAAATAATTATAATTGAGTTAATGCTGTTATTTTATACATTTCTAGCTACCTTGTTGTTTTCATGTTCTTGGTTATTGGCGGATCAATATATATATATATATAGAGGACACGATTCACATTTCGGTTGAAGCATCTACGATTTAAGCTTACTGCCGGTTTCACGTGCCATCATATAAGATTCTCAAAAACTTGGGCTAGTTCATAATTGGATCTCAGTTTTATTTTTTCATAAAAGTGTGACCAAATTAATTTACACAACATCTTAGAAGTAGTAGTTTAATCTTCAAAGGCACCCAAGACTTCTCCGTATTTTTTGAATTAATCAAAAGATTAATTTATTTAACCACTATATATGTAATACGTACAAAGAGAAAGAGATCGCACGAGGATCATATCAAATCTTAATTATTAATTAAGATCACATATATTATTGTTTTGAAATTTAAAATTACAATATAGATCTAGTTAATTAAAAGATCATAACGGCTTTGTGTAAAACTTAATTAGATCACATATCAAGGTATATATGATGAAAAGTACATAAAAATAAAATTCTGCACAGCTTGATCGCTTGTCTAGATCTGTTCCTACCGAAGACCAGATGTAACAAATATAGGTAGATCACAAGCGGCAAAATTACTTTATTATATTATAAATACCTGTAACCTGCAATAAGAAATTGAAAATTATATTAATGATTGATGCACAATAATACGAAGTAAAATGTTAATTTACCTACATGCATGTAAATAAAGAAACACTCACTTAACATACAGGTAGATACACAAATTACTACAAATGGAAAACATGCACGTACAAGGTTGAAAATTTTGAATTCTACACGTAAACTTGTTTTTTTTTTTTTTTTTTTTTTTTTTTTTTTTTTTTTTCCCTTTTTATTAGATGCTGAATATCTAAATTATATCATCAAGGTGGGAGTTTTAAGTTTACTCTGATACTTCAAACTTATGAGACATAGTATCAAAACTATTATTCATGTTTTATGCTATAATTGAAATTGCACCAAGTGCGCCTAAAATAAAAATACATACATGTATATATATTCATCAGCTCTTCATATAGATAAATTTTTTCTTAAATAAAATAGAAATAACAGAAAACTATGCAATTCAACAAACTGGGCATTAAAAGATAATGGAGAAATTTTGACTATTAATAAAATCTGCATTTATCTCCATCTTGCTTTCTAATTAAATTGTTAAACCTATTTTCAACTTTTTCCCTTTTATAAAGATCACACACACACACACACACACACACACACACACACACAAAAACCATAAAAACAATTCAATAGTTTTGTTTTATATATTTTATAACACACTTAGATATGATTTCTTTAAATAGCAAAGAGAAAATGAAGATTCATACACTTTGAGATGAAGGAGATTTAAGATGTCATGGTGGAGGTAGAAAATTAGGGCCACCTTGGCGGTGGCGGAGACTTGAGGTGTCTAGGTGGAGGTGGAGGTGGGGGTGGAGATTTAAGGATTTCAGGTGGAGGAGGTGATATTAGACGTTTGGGTGGAGGTGGTGATCTTCTGGGGAACCAAGGTGGGGGTGGAGATTTATGAATTTTAGGTGGAGGTGGAGATTTTATACCTTTGGGAGGAGGTGGTGATCTTCTGGGGAACCAAGGTGGGGGCGGAGATTTAAGGATTTTAGGTGGAGGAGGTGATATTAGAAGTTTGGGTGGAGGTGGTGAGCTTCTGGGGAACCAAGGTAGGGGTGGAGATTTAAGGATTTTAGGTGGAGGTGGAGATTTTATACCTTTGGGAGGAGGTGGTGATCTAGGGATCTTAGGCGGTGGTGGAGATTTTGGGTTTTTTGGTGGAGGTGGAGATTTGAGAATCTTAGGTGGAGGTGGGGGTTTTTGGGTTTTAGGTGGAGGTGGAGGTGGAGTTATAGGACTCTTGGGTGAAGGAGGAGGAAATGGCTCTTCTACAGGTGCATTGTCATTTGGAGGAAATGATGGGGGTATTAATGGTGGAAGTGGTTCCGGTATTGGTGAGTCATTAGGAGGAGATGTTGATGGAACTGGTGATGGTGAAGGAGAAGGAGGGGCGTTATCATTTGGAGGAGATATTGGTGGAGGAAATGGCTCAGCTACTGGTGGGATATTATTTGGGGGAGATGCTGGTGATAGAGGTGGAAGAAATGGCTCAGTTACTGGTGTGATATCATTTGGAGGGGATGCTGGTGATAGAGGTGGGGGAAATGGCTCAGCTACTGGTGTGATATCATTTGGAGGAGATGTTGGTGATGGAGGTGGAGGAAATGGCTCAGCTACTGGTGAGATATCATTTGGAGGAGATGCTGGTGATAGAGGTGGAGGAAATGGCTCAGCTACTGGTGGAGGAAATGGCTCAGCTACTGGTGTGATATCATTTGGAGGAGATGCTGGTGATAGAGGTGGAGGAAATGGCTCAGCTACTGGTGGAGGAAATGGCTCAGCTACTGGTGTGATATCATTTGGAGGAGATGCTGGTGATAGAGGTGGAGGAAATGGCTCAGCTACTGGTGGAGGAAATGGCTCAGCTACTGGTGTGATATCATTTGGAGGAGATGCTGGTGATAGAGGTGGAGGAAATGGCTCAGCTACTGGTGGAGGAAATGGCTCAGCTACTGGTGTGATATCATTTGGAGGAGATGCTGGTGATAGAGGTGGAGGAAATGGCTCAGCTACTGGTGGAGGAAATGGCTCAGCTACTGGTGTGATATCATTTGGAGGAGATGCTGGTGATAGAGGTGGAGGAAATGGCTCAGCTACTGGCGTGTTTTCATTTGGAGGAAATGATGGTGGAGAAATTGGCTCGTCTACTGGTGAAATATAATTAGGAGGATATGCTGGTGATGGCGGTTGTGGAAATGGCTCTTCCAATGGTGGACTAGGATTAGGAGAAAATACTGGTGGAATTTCATGAGAAGATGGTGGTAATGAAGGTGGAGGTAGAGGTGGTATTTGTGGTTGAGGGGGTGGAGGAGGTGGTGGCTGTAGTGGAGGTGAAGGTGAAGGTGATAATGGAGATGGTGGTGGTGGTGAAAGAGGCAACGGTGAAGGCAATGTTTTTGTTGGAGGGGGTGGTGGTGGTGGAAGTGGAGGTGGCGGCGGCCTTGCTACATGCGGAGGCGGCGGCCTTGCTACGTGCGGAGGCGGAGGGGGCGGCCTTGCTACGTGCGGAGGCGGAGGCCGCGGTCTTGCTACAGGCGGAGGCGGAGGCGGTGATCTACCCAATAATGGTGGCAGATGTATTGGCGGTATAACGGTACCTATCGTGCGGAGGCCGCGGTCTTGCTACAGGCGGAGGCGGAGGCGGTGATCTACCCAATAATGGTGGCAGATGTATTGGCGGTATAACGGTACCTATCGTTGGCACTCCAGGTAGAGGAATCGTAATTTTGGAATCATTCACTAGTGGTTGAGATAGGGACTTGTGGACAGAGGGAATGTCATTAGCGGTGACCACATTGATGCCAAAGAAGCATAAGAACAAGGTATAAATCCCCAAATGAACCAATTTTGGCCAAAAGGGAGAGTTAGATGAAAGCACCATACTCACGGAGCAAGACTCTTTCACCTCACACGATCATAGGCTTAAGACCGAATGAGTTATGGGTTTCAAAACTTGAAGAGTTTATATAGAGATTGATCTCATAGATGATTGAACCACTTGTCATTTGTTCTTTAAGCTTCAAATCTATCACAAATATTAATTTCAAGTCAAATTCTTCGCTTCATCTTGTCTCTTTCTAATTAAATTATAAATTAAAGAATAATGTACCGAATGCCTCTAGCCCTCTACTCTTATTAGCGCTCTCATCATAATATGCATGCATATTTGGTCTAGATGAGTTTGAAATTTTATGCAGTACGTACGTGCCCATATTTCCAATAGTATATTTATACTTCTGGTGGAGTCTATATTTGACTTGGAAGTTTAGAAGTAGCATTCAATTACTGATCATTTAAACGATTTCTGCCGAATTTCGCAACAATATTCATTATTATTTATTATAGTACATATATGGATTACACTTTGTAGTACGTATCTGTAGGAATTTTTTAATTACCTAACTCAATATTTGACAGGGCGAAGAAACTTTAAAACATTTTCTGCAAATATTAGTAGGAAGCTTCTCTCGCAGGACTAAAAAAAATGAATTATTGGTAGTTTTTTACTTTTCAGTCATTATATTTATATCAAAAACTGTCTATTTTACATACTTTTTCAATCTGATATGATTTTAACTAGATTCAATAGTCAAAAAAATAATGAGCACTAACGGCCTACAAAAAAATAAAAAGGAGAGAAAGGAATAGTAGTTGTCCTTTTAGCTGCTTCAAACATTGTCCTAATAAGATTTTGTATGTAAATGGTTCCATAAGAATTATTTTATTTTCGCTTCATTTGTTTTTCTTGTTTCTTTTTTTCACGTCATGAAGAATGAAGATATGGAACAAGATCATCAGTTTATCAAATTTAAAATCTCTAGCAAATATAATCCAGTTGATTGTAACTAATGTATAGCTATTGTGCATTCTTTATTACAAAATATTTTATTTATAGAAAAGCATTCAGGAAAAATCAATTTACCTAAATCATATTTAGGGTGCGTTTGGTAGGAGAGAAGGAATGGTGAAGGGATGGATTGAGGTGGGAAAGTGAAATTTAATCTTGTTTGGTAGGATGGAAAGAGCGTTGGAGAGGAAAAAGCCAGGGGTTGTGAATCCCTTGTGCCCTACAAATTTTTATCCTCCCAAAAGTGGACGGATTGGGAGGGGCTGAAGAAAAAAATGGACATTGTTCCAAAAATGACCTTTGTCAATATAACAATTTCCTAAAAACTTCTAAGATATAAACCTCAAATCAGATCTGCTTTCCATAAAACCCTATCCAAAAGCTCTCTCCTCCGTCAATGGTGCCCAAGAAAAATTATCTATATGCTTGTGAGGTCATACACATTAATATTATGTCAGACTACATACTAATGTAATGATCGTATGAATATATATTGGAAATTATTCACATGTTGATACACATTTATATATTTACTTTATATAGACACAAATAAAATATGTCTACATATGTGTGTACATTTGTATTATAAAGCAAATCAATTTTAAATACAATAAAAATAAAAGATTTCAAGTAAGTATAATTACTTTCAATATAAGGGTAAATACGTAACTTTATCAATCAAATCAAATCTTTCCCTTCTTGTTTCCTTATAATATCAAACAATAGAAAGGAAAGTCATTATCTTTCCTTCTTATCATATCAAACAATTTTGAGAAAACTCTCAATCCTTCCCTCCCTTCCCACTTTCCCTCCCCTCCACCAATCCATCCCTTCTATCAAACGGACCTTTAGGGTGTGCTTGGTAGGAATGATGGATTGATGAAGGGATAAGATTGGGGGGATTCAAGGGTGGAAAGTGAAATTTAGCCTTTTTTGAAAGAGAAAAATTTATTTTTTATAAAGCTCACATTTGTCTCTCTTGTGTAGAATTTTATGTACACCAATCGGAAAGAGTAGTACTGCATATTGAACAAATACTCCATATTATTTGGTTTAATCAATGGTTTACATAACCTCTTTATTGGAAATGAATTGTTTGTTACATCTATCTTGGTGTTGTTCTAAGATCTCTAAGTGTAATGTTGATTTCAATTGAATAAAATAATATTTTTATTCAAAAAAATTGGAGATTTGGTTTGACCGTGAAATTAGTTTGCTATTAAACTTTCATTATAATAATTGTAAGTTAACGACTGTGATATCCCTAAATCTCCTCCTTTACACTCAACGAATACGTACTGTATACAGGTTTGCAACATATAATAATGGGCAATTAAGAATGTGTTTCCTCCCTTAATTAACTCTGCCGAACTTTGCTTATTCCAAAGTCAATGTATCTCTATTTCCACTTTAATGTTAGTCCTCCATCCCTCCTACCCTGTTATTAAATTAAAATGGAATAAATGTTTCTATTGTTAATTTTGTCTCATGAATAGTCCATTAATTAAAAAAAAGTCTCATAGATGATCCTTATATTAATTTTTTTTTTATAAAAACCGTTATATTAAACTCGTGCAATATTTCAAAACTTTCATCTATCTATAAGATGAAAAACAATTAAATTTTATATGTTAAAAGTTATACTAAATTTAATAATTAAATAAATAAGAGCCAAAATCAATTCATCTGTTAAATAAATAGATGAAAAACATTAAATCTGCTCACTTTTAATGGAGTGGTAAAACTTTTTTACTTTATCTGTTTATGGACTAAATTTTATACAATTTCTCATATTTAATGTTATTTTACTTATTTAGCAGAGAGATAACTTTGTTAAGTATATATATATACACATTAATATATATACTAAAGAAGGCACACGAAAGTTGCTGAGAGTTTAGATCCATTATAATAATTTGACAAATCTTGAATAAAATATTGTGATTTCTTCTGAAAATATTAAAAGCCTGTTTAGGAGAACTTTTTAAAAGTTATTTTTAGCTTCTTAAATTTAAAAACTGCTTCTGAAAGTGTTTAAATGGTCTGTTAGAAGTGCTGACTTTTCAAAAGAGCTTTCAATTAAAGTCATAAATTGTGACTTCCAAAAAAAAAAACTTATGAATAGACTTTAAAATTTTTACCATAGTTTAATTAGGACATTATAAATTCAATTCCAACACTTTTATTGCTTATTAGATAATTTAAAAATCTTTTTGACCCATTAAGCTATTTATTCAAAATATTTACTGAAAAGTCACAACTTTTGTTTCTTTTTTCCTACTAACTAAAAACAAAAGTAAAAACTCTATCAAACGAGACAATCTTTCAGAGTTCATATTTAATTAAAGTTAAACTATATATGTACTAAAATATACATCACCAAACACTTTTACATCAAACAATATTATTTAACTTTGATTAAAAAAAAAGTCGTCTTATTTCTCCATTGAGATATATCGCCAAATGGAGTGGCCATCAACATGACTTACATTTCAGCACGCCGTGGTTCAGTTCAATGAAATTTAATTACGTTACAAATATATAAGTAACTACTAATTATTTCCTTTCTTACTTTACTTCTCAATTTTGGTAATTCCGATTTCCACTTTTTTTTTTTTAGAATAATTTCCATGTTTCAACTTTGTTAAACGTGACAATTATTATTTCAATTAGCCTAGTCGGATTGAATTTACGTATAAGTTTATAACTCAAGTGAAAGAAAAAGTTGTGTAAAGGATCCAACTCATGAAGGAAATTTTCACACACATATTTACAGAAATTAAACGTTGACGCTTTCATTTGTTAATTTGGTGTAGATTTGCGGCGTTTATACCAAATTATGCTACACTAGATCGTAGCTTGCTGAGTCTGACGTCCATAATCCCAGTCGCCAAATAGTACCGTACCTTTTCTTTTCTTTTTCCCACTGCTGAAGTTTCGTTATCTTTAGGTTCATTCATTTCGCAGATTCGAGTTAAAATGTGATATTTTTTATAAAAAATTTACTGTAACAAAAAAAATTAAATGTGATATTTTTTAAGAATTTTTTACTGTAAAAATTTAAAACTGAAAACTCAAATAAGTAAAATTAACGAAGCCTTTATCTTTTTTCTTTTTAAAAAAAAAAAAAATCCATTATCTTCAACTTGAGGCTCTACTTTCTGCCTAACTGAAGTCATCTCATGTGTGTATCTATACAACCACACACATAAAGAAAAAAAAATACTGTTCAAAGGAACAGTTCAGACCAAAACGCACAGTTTTGATCGAAAACACTATTCAGCTCCACTTTTCTTTTTTTTTTTCCTCTTTTTCCCACAATTTTATATTTTTTGTTGCTGGCCTTCTTTTTAATTTTTTTTCTTTTATTTACTTTTTTTTTTGTAAATGTTAGCCTATTTAGATTTTTTTTCTTGTGATGTCTTAAAATTTATTTATTTATTTATCTTTTTTATTATAATCCTGAAGTTTTATTTTTCTTTTGTTTTGGTTCCTTTTGCTTAAAAATTTATTTATTTATTTATTTTGATCCTTTTTTTGCCATTCTTTTAATTTTTCCACTGAAGCTTTTTTTTCTGTTTTAGTTATTTGTTGATACTTGAATTCGTACCAGGCCCATTTATGGTCCATGCCTAATCCTTTGCGTCTCGCGACGTAAATTGGCTCGTGTAGTGGACCTAAAACACGCTCGGGGAACTCCTGTGGGTTTTGGTTTGGTAGGCTACGGGTGATCCTGTGGGCCCAATTGTCCTTAATTTGACCCAATTTGAAACCCGTTTGGAGAGTTTTTTAGAATGAGTCAAATTAAGTATGACTGGGTAATAGAGGATTCAACACCAAAAAGCCTTCCTCTTGTCTTTGGAAGCCCAAAATCCTTTATTTCAAATCTTGAAAGGCCCAAAACCCAAGCCTAATCCTTCAGAAATTTCCTCCAACTCAAAGGCCTGAGAAATCTATTAGTCTTGGCTCATTCGGAGGCTTTTCTCACGATCAGACATGCCTCTCGGAGCAATTCCCATGTCAGACATGCTTCCCCAGCTATTTTTCGTAGTAGGTTGTCCATTCAGAGCACTCGTGCACATTCGAAGTAACCTGGTGTCAGAGCAATTTATTGTCAGAGCAAGTACAATGGCAGCTTGGCCATTCTCACACAAACATCCTCTGATGAAGGTCTGATACGCGATTAGCCCCCCAAAATGGAAAGTCTTTAGAGCGCTAAAATTGAGTCAAACACTCTTGGAGATTTCAAGTCTGAAGTCATTTCGGTGTCAGCCCAAAATTCTGAACTTGGCCTTTAAGTATTTCTATTTCTAAGGAGTCATTTTGCCTCCTCTAATAAGGTAGCTAAGATTTTGCTCCAAATGAAAATGCTTATACCTTATTTCATCAGAACGTCGCCGAAGCATATTTCCATAAACTTTTAATCCCATTTTCAGTGAATGTCTTCGTCACACTTAAAAAGCTATTTGACACAATTCTTCTGAATGGGAATGCTTTGACAACCCGCTGCCGTTTCTTCCATTCCATTTCCGGACCATCTCTTTGTCAAACCAAGAATGGCCTCTGATGGCCTCCTTCTAAACAAAAATGAGTATTCTGACCTCCATCAAAGCAGCTATCAAGCACTCCCATCTCCTCCTATAAATACCCCCTACCCTCTTCATTTCACCTCTAACACACCTGCACACCTGATCAACACATCAGATCTCACTATCACTCTCTTGAGTACTGAAGCTCTTGAGAATTCACTCCAAAATCTCATTCTCAGTGTCTTCTTCAAGTCTTTTGCTACAAAGACTTGAAGCCCTTTTCAAGTTCTTGAGGAACTCTATAGTTTCTTAGTGTTGACCTCCTTAGAAACTCCTTAAGAACACTTTTCAATCCTCTTCCCAACACCAACACCACCTGAGAGCATTTTGAGAGTTATTTTCACACTTTTCTAGAAGTATTCAAGCCTCTAATCTCAAAGCCACTCTCGTCCATCGTCGGAGGGAGTGCTCCAAACAGTCTCCACGCTCTGAGAACAACCTGCGTCGCTTTTGGAGCTCTTTCATCAAACTCCTCCGTATTATTTTTCTACAACATCACCTTGTCCACCAACGAAGCTACATATTCGAAGCCTCCGAAACGGCTCGAAAACTGCTTTGGGAGTCTTTCTCCATCAAAAAGTTTTATCCACCTCTCGAGTTACATCTTCTATCAACTACGTGATCGTTACTATCACTATTCTTTATTCGTGAAGTTCTTTATTATTATTTTTTTGGATTTACTAACATTTTTTGTAGGAATATTTTCGTGATTTTGGCAATAAATTTAGTCACCGTGAAAATACTTATGAGGTATTGTGGGAGTAACTTATGAGGTGTTGACATAAATTATTAATTATGAGTTGAAAGTTTTTCCAAAATAAATAAAGGAGAGTAAAAAGCTGTCAGAAGTGGGATTTGAACCCACGCCCTCTTTCGAGGACCAGAACTTGAGTCTGGCGCCTTAGACCACTCGGCCATCCTGACAGTTTTGTGCAAGTGAACAATTAATTAGCATTTTAAAGCAGATATTTTATCATCTGATGGTGCGAATGCTTTTCAAAAATTATACAGGGGATCTTTTTATTTATTATTTTTCTGTAGATAATGGGTCGATTAACTCTATCGATATGCACATCAACAATTAGCTAAATGCCTTTTTGCCACCTCTTTTCATAAATAACCCAAATTTTTTTATTTTATAAAAATAACCGTTTTGTTTACAGAACTCAATCAGTGATTAACCCACAATCAATCATAAATTTGATACACAGTCAATTAATTATTGACTCACGGTCAATCAGTGATTTACAATTCATTATTAATTTATTAATAATTTATCATTAATAAATCTATAATTTGTTGATTAAAATTCATTATTACTAATTGATTTTAGTTAATTATTAACTGATATTAATTAGTAATGAGGATTCAACGATTAATAAGTGATTAATTAAAGTCAATCATTGATAGACCGCTAAGTTAATCAGTGATTGACTACTAAATTAAAAAAACGTATTTTTATAATTTACAAGATTTCGGCTATTTATGAAAAAATACTTTAAAAAGAACCATTTGTGCTAAAATTCCTTTAGTTAATTATATATACAATTATACATACAATTGTTGATATTCACTCCTATTTTGGGTTGAAATGATAGATACCTCGAAGGGTTAATATTCATACCCTTGCTCTACTACCTAAATATATAGAATATAGCTCTCGTAACTTCTCCTTTTTACTTGTATTGTTTTCTCCTTGCATGTTCGGCCAGTAAAACAAATTACGAAGTTCCATTATTACTTGATTTTTATCTCTCTTTTATTAAGTAGTTGATCAATTAGGTTCTCATCGTTAAAGTCAATGACGACATGGATGATCTAATTATATTAAATCATGAATTCATGATACAATGAAGAAAGGGAGAAAAGCTTTGACGTAAGACTTTTAAGAATAACTTAAAATTTATTTAGCCATAAACAAATATGAAACAAATAAAATTTTCAAATAGACCGCACAACGTCTTGGCCGACGTAATCATTCAAAGAAATCACATAAACAAATTATCAAGTCATAAAAGTAAACATCCACTTTGATGAAAGCTGCAAAGAATTATCCAATTGTATGTGGCACTTTGTTCGCTTCTTCCCAAATCGGCTTCCCCATTTGATATGCAACACACGCAAAAGCGACGCCAAAATGAGACTGTTTTTTGCAGAAATTATTTGTTTGCCTATGCGGAAACTGCAAAATGCAAAACATGATATTATTATAGGGGAGACAAAAAAAAAGTTACAAAAACTGAAGAGAAAAACAGAATGATGAGGGTGAAAATATGTCAATTCAGATCATTTGGGATCATAATCTACAAGACTTACATGAAACGAGCGTAAGAACTGCTTATGGTCTTAGTAGTGATGTGGAGGTGGAGGGGATTTGTAAACATATGGAGGAGGAGGCGGGGATTGATAAACGTAGGGAGGTGGGGGTGGAGACTTGTAAACATAAGGAGGAGGTGGAGGAGAGCTGTAGACATAAGGCGGAGGAGGTGAAGGTGATGGAGGAGGAGGACTCTTGTAGATGTAAGGAGGCGGAGGTGGAGAGCTGTAAACATAAGGCGGCGGAGGAGGGGACTTATAGACATAAGGAGGTGGTGGTGGCGAGCTGTAGACATAAGGCGGGGGAGGTGATGGTGATGGAGGAGGAGGGGACTTGTAGACGTAAGGAGGTGGTGGCGGAGACTTGTAAACATAAGGAGGCGGTGGTGGAGAGTTGTAAACATAAGGCGGAGGAGGAGGGGACTTGTACACATATGGAGGTGGTGGTGGAGACTTGTAGATGTAAGGAGGTGGAGGTGGAGAGCTGTAAACATAAGGCGGAGGAGGAGGGGACTTGTAGACATATGGAGGTGGTGGTGGAGAGCTGTAAACATAAGGTGGGGGAGGTGATGGTGATGGAGGAGGAGGGGACTTGTAGACATATGGAGGTGGTGGTGGAGACTTGTAGATGTAAGGAGGTGGAGGTGGAGAGCTGTAAACATAAGGCGGCGGAGGAGGGGACTTATAGACATAAGGAGGTATTGAAAGTTGAGAATAGACATAAGGAGGTGGTGGAGGAGAATTGTAGACATAAGGAGGAGGAGGTGGAGACTTGTAATAGTACTTAGGTGGTGGTGGTGGAGACTTGTAGTAGTACTTTGGTGGAGGAGGGGGTGACTTGTAATAGTACTTTGGTGGCGGTGGCGGCGACTTGTAGTAGTATTTCGGTGGCGGTGGTGGTGATTTGTAATAATACTTAGGAGGAGGCGGTGGAGACTTGTAGTAGTATTTAGGTGGTGGTGGCGGAGACTTGTAGTAATATTTAGGTGGAGGGGGAGGTGACTTGTAATAGTATTTAGGAGGTGGAGGTGGTGACTTGTAGTAGTATTTAGGAGGTGGGGGAGGAGACTTGTAGTAGTACTTGGGTGGTGGCGGAGGGGATTTGTAAATGTATGGCGGCGGAGGTGGAGACTTGTAGACATAGGGCGGCGGAGGAGGGGATTTGTAGACATAGGGCGGAGGAGGAGGGGATGCATATGTGTAAGGCTTATCATATGCCGCTACATTGGTGGCAATCAAGCATATTGCCAAGGTATACAGAAGATGGGGCCAAAAGTTGGCCATTTTGAGAAGCTGAGTGCTAAGAAGCCCCAAAACTTTAGGACTTCAATTGCTTAGAGACTGATTATTTGATTTTGGATGAATGCTAATGGAATGCGTTTCACAGCTTATATAGAGATCTCTTCAACGAGTGAAACATTTATTTAGTAATATGTGAAGTTTCCTACCTACAACAAACCCGTTGTTTATGCTTCTATAATTTGTTGTCAACTTTCAATTCTAATTTTGTATGAATAATTGGATAATGGGAAGCCACTCAATCTTTGGATGACTCTTCATGCATATATTGACGTTGAAACTGTCTAGTTATACCTCTTGTGCGGCTGTGCACTACAACAATCAATGAAGTTTTAAAAAATAATAATAAATTATTAATTCTTATTTTGACGTATACAGAACTTTTTTGATTCACAGCTGATCTGTATTTGTAAGAGGGAGTAGGTATTGTTTAACTTACCGAAAGGAACATTCTACTTGAAATTATTTGGACTAACTCAAGTTTTATGCGTTGGAGGGTTATTTAACTTGGTCCAAAATCGAACTGATGTAGTCAATATACACATTTGTTAGAAGAAAGCATGATGCAGCGGAATATATACAAGTCTTAGATTTAGGTTAGAAATCATTGTCAGAAGTAACAACCATCAAATTTACCTTGCAAAATTAACCCTTCTCTTAAGAAATGCAGCAAATTTAGCCGCTTTAAATATTAGCTAATTATGAAACATATAATTTTTCGGCAGTACAGTATTGCCATTAGTGGTAATATATAAATCCAATAAATATTTACAGATATTTATGAAACTTAATCAAATTTAGTATGGAATATCTAGTGAGTTCAGAAATTAACGCCAATTATCTCATAGACACTAAGTTGATAAAAGTAAATTTAGTATGGTGTTTAGAAAATTAGAACAGTAATAATTTATTGTCGTTTCTTGATCAAAAGATTAAATTTGTGATCAATTAGGTAGGAAGCTGTCAACGATATATTAGATGGTTGTCGGCGGAGCATGTTAATTCGTCCACTTAATTAGTAACATATTCCAACTTTTAGTTTATTGGATAGCTTTTTATAATTCGCTAAACAATTACTTAAACGGAAACTAACAAATTGGTGATTGTCAAACAGTGATTTAGTGGCCTATAGGATCGTTCTTATACGTTGAAATGACAAAAGTCTTTGTTTTTTGTTGTTTGGTTTGTTGTGTTTTTCTCTTTTCGCTGAGAATAAGAGACAAATGATTGTTCTGAGCATATCCTCCAAAGTCCAAATGGACGCATGCGTTATTTCTTTGCCTTTTTTTTCGTTTTTTTTTTTTTTATTGAAAGTTGAGAATTTCTTGCTTTTTTTACCATTTCAAATTAGAAGGCCGGCTTTATTAATATTCTCAAATTCTTTTCATTTTCTTGCCTAACAAATTTTTATCTTTTGCTTGTCAATCTTGTTCTTTTTTTCGTTACTTTCCCGTATATAAGATCGCAATACGTTCAATTCAGTTGAAAGTAAATGTGCCGTTTAACAATTTAAATATTTTTACTACAATATTTTTTCCCATAAAAGTTGATTCTTTTTCTTTTCTTCTGCTCTCCCCAAGCACCCGGCATATCGTTTTGTATAAATGTCATTTTCATTTTATATTGGACCAAGTTTTTAATGATATTTATGTTTATATTTCATCTTGTTCTAGATATATATGGAGTCCACTGCATTACTTCAGCATGTTGAAAGATTCATGTAATCTGTTATCGTGAAAATTATAAACTAACAAATAACAATCAATAAATGATAAACAACAAGAAAAAGAAAAGGTCATCATGATGCAAATAAGGGATTACACAATGAGAATAGATGACTTATAATACTTGTTTATCTTCCTTGAAGGGGAAAAAAAAAAAAAAAAAAAAAAAGGATAGCGACTTGGACCTTTTTCTCTTCTGATTTTTTTTTTTTTTTTCAATAATATTGAAGGTTTTTTTTTTTTTTAAATATTGTCAGATTATATCACGTTTGTTAACAACCCGATAATGATTGAGATAAACTCGTTATTACTAAAAGTTTAACAAAGTCACTACTTCTCAATACTAATAAGGTCGTCTTTGGAGTTCTTTAACAAGACTAACCCTAACCAAGAAACAAATTAGTTAGTTAGAAAATTGCTATGAAAGTCTCTTTCACAGATTCCTGCAATTGATAGATCCATTCCACCAACCTTTTGTTTGGTAAGAGGGAAAG